GGGCCAAACTTGCCCTTCCTAATGGTTGTCAGATGCCCCTCACCCATGGCCCACTTTAGAGGCAAGAGAGCACAGAAACAGTGTCAGTGGCGACTGTATTTTCAAGCAGAGCTGTGAGCAGTTAAGAGCTGGCCTGCCAATTTTGCAGGAATTACAGATGCTGATGAGGGGTATAATGATTTGCAAACACAGTTTGTTGTACATTGTCAATTCCTAAATGTAAAGATGAATATAAGGCACTGGAATATATTATGTAATGCAATGTAATATGAAGTAATAATATAATACAATTATTGCCGAACAGGGATTTAATATAATTTCAGTGGCAACCATGTTAGTTCCAGGCTAAGTAACTTTGTTATTGAATATGACTGCTGTTCTTGTTCAATTTTTGTCTTGCCTTGACAGCCTACAAGTCATTGAATTCTAGTTCTTTAGGCATTTATTCTAATTGCCTTTTGAAATGCTTCTGTTTTAGTATAATGGTCCTAAGGCAGCGGATCTGAGGAGAGTGCAGCTTTGCAATTTATAATACTTTGCATTTCTTTCCCTCTGTCGTTCATTTGTTCCTTCCTCCCATTCTGCCCCCATCTTGTATATATTTTTGCTGTGACTGACACTGATCATCTTCTGAAATTAGTCCCTTCCAACCCAATCCTATGCACCCAGGTGTGAGTCCCAGTGAATTGCAGAATTTAAGGTTGCTTACAAGGTTTTCCTCCTCTCTACTTTATCCTCACAAAAACAACAATTCTATGGGGTAGGTTAGGCTGAGAGGCAGTGACTGGCCCAAAGTCACACATTAGGTTTCATAGCTAAGTAGCAAGTCCCAGTCCAGTACTCTTAATATTTAACCTAAACACTATTTAAATGCATAATTATACTAATAAATCAGTATAATTATGCATTTATATACAATAAATCAGATTGTACACTTTTGGGAAGGGAAGCTCCACTGTCAAACTTTGCATGAGGCCGGGCTGTACAAATCAGGGCAAAAGATACATAACTCAAGAGGACTAGCTGCCTGATTCTGATCATGTTGTATGATCCAACTACTTTCAAGGGTACTTTCTTGCAAAGAAGGATTGCAGGATGTTTTCTCAGAAATAAGTATAATTAAGTTTAATGAGGCTTACCTCACAGAATTATGGTTGATACAGCAACAGTACAGCATAGGTAGGTAAAAAACAGTGAAGAGTCATACGGCAGGTTGAAGAACAAAACATTTATTCTGGCATGAACTTTTCTGGACATTGTTCTGCTTTGTGACATGCAGGTCTAATGGTTGGCAGTGTCAGTGAAAGGTTATGCCAGAATAAATAGCTTAGTCTTAAAGGTGTCATAAAATTCTTCATTATTTTTGCAAAAACAGACTAACAAGGCTACCCTTCCCAAACTTCACTGTTGGTATTACCATTAGTAAACAATTAAAAAACATGAATAAAACCTAGGAGGATAAACACTGGGATGCAACACCAGACTTTATGCTGAGCAGGGACTCCCACTTAAGCAGATATATGAACTACGACCCTAGTGGAACAATGAGAGCCAGGCTACAGTATGTATGTATGTATGTATGTATGTATGTATTTATTTATTTAGGGGACTTCTATGCTGCCCCATTCGCCGAAGCCTCGGAGCCGCTCACAACCATAAATAAATAGAATCCAATAAAACAATATAAATTAACAATATAAATTAAGTCGCCCTGGCCAAAAAATAAAATAAATAAATAATATTAACAATTAAAATAACATTTGACTAAAAAGGTCTTCGCCTGGCGCTGAAAAACAAATAACGACGGCACCAGGCGGACCTCTCTGGGGAGTGCATTCCATAGGTTGGGCGCCACCGCAGAGAAAGCCCTCCTCCGAGTACTTACCCTTCTAATTTCCTTCACGGAGGGTTCCCGGAGTTATCCATGTTCTGGCAACTTCTTGTTTAGATTACTGCGATGTGCTGTATGTGGTAGGGTTGCCTTTGACAATGGTCCAGAAATTTTGATCCAAAACAGGGCAGTGAGACTGTTAATGGGGACTAGCTCATGAGAATGCATTATGCCCACATTCTTCCAGCTGCAGTGTTGTAGCCTGGGCTTGCTTTAAAGTGCTAGTACTAACATTCAAAGCCCTAATTGGCTTGGGAACAGGTTATCTGAAGGATCACCTCATCCTACCTTTAGGGAATCCTTCTCCAGGAGCTCCTTCCAAAGGCAGGTGGCTACCAGGGGGAAAGCCTTTTTGGTTGTAGCACCCTGGTTGTGCAATGAATGCCCCAAAGAGGTGCACCTGGTGCCTATTTTGTATTTTTTTTCTGTGCCAAATAATGACCTTTTTACTCTCCTAGCATTTTAACGGTGTAACTTTTAAACCTCATTTTTAATATTGCATTTTATTCTGCACCACTGCTATGCTTCTGTATTGATTCAATTGCAGTTACTATGTGTGTTTGTGCATGAGTTTTAATTCTTTAAATATTTGTTTAAAAATGGATGGTATAAATATGAAATAAACTTTGCTTGACCCCCACCCCCGAATTCTCTCTGAGCTTAACTGTGATCCACACAATAGCTTTGGGAAGAGGGTTCAGGAGGGATAAAATTTCCCAACAAAAATATAAAGTTCTATTAAAGTTATTTCCTCTATGGAATGCTCTCCCCAGGGAAGTCTGCCTGGCACTGACTTTGTATTTTTTTGGTGGCAGGCTAAAATCCCATTATTTTAAGGTTGTTTAGGTTTTAATGTGGGTTTTATTTTACAGGACTTATTGGATACTGTGCTTCATTTTATTCTGTTTTCATTGTAGCCCATCCCAAGACTGCAGTAGTCGGACAGTATATAAAAGCTTTAAACAAACAAACAAAAAAGTTCCCTATTGTAAACCAAGTATTTGCGGGATGTCTTGGTTCTGAATGGGCAATTAGGACCCACTAGCTTTAAAAAAAGCCTTGGTGGAGATCCTAAAAACTCCAAAAACTAGTTTGTTGATATGGATGGACACACCTGCTTGGGATTTTAAACGTCCCTTGGAGCTGTGGTTGACATGATGAGTACCTGCATTTCAAACTTTTCCACCACACTATTGTTGGTTACCTTAGGGCACAATCTTACGCAAGTTTAGACTTGGAAAAAAGCACAGGAAAAATGCTGGAAGCTGGAGGGCGTTTTTTCCCGTCTAAACATGCACACAGTTGCCCGCCATTTGTCCACGTCTTCGGACCTTGTATATACTGCTTAATTGAGTGTCCATTAAGTCCAACCCTCGGCCTTCAAAGCCCCGATTCTGCCTGTACTTCTGCCCCGCCAACAGTAGAGAGCGCTGCAGACTAGCAGCGGCAAAACGGCCAGCCACAGCCCGAGCACGCCTCTTTCTCCCCATGGGAGCTTCCTGATGGTTGTGCAGTGGGTCCCCCCCCCCCCATTTCTTTTTCCCCCCCCGCCCCCCCCCCCCCCACCCCCCCCCCCCCCCCCCCTTCCGCCACCGTTGCGCTTGCAGGTTGTCGCTGCCGCCGGTGCGTAAAGGCAGGGAACTCCGCCTCGGGCACTGCCTGCAAGCCCGCTTCTCTCTCGGGGACAGTTTAGAGATCCGATCTGGGGTCTCCATAGAGATTTTAACAAGCAGCACCTTTCAATCACCGCGGAGCCACAATACATGAAAGAGAAGAAGCAGCGGCGGGGGGGAGGGAAGAGAGAGACGGGGAGAGAGGGGAAGCCTGCGGGAGCAGCAGCTGCAGGAAACGGCCGCGAGTGAGCCGATCGGCAAAACTTTCGCGGCCGCGGCGTTCCCAGCGGAGCGCGCACATGTCGCCTTCTCCGCGGCAGGGGAAGAAGAGGCGCACTTTTTCGTCGCCGCGCTTGCGGAGCCAGTCGTCACGCTGATGAGCCGAGGGGGGCCACGGACCGCGAGCCTGCCAGCATTCCTGATCCAAGCGCTACGGCTGAGCTGAAGGTGAGCCACCAACCCACGGAGCGAGGAGGAGGAAGAAAGCAAGCCTGGCCGCGGAGAAGGGGCGCTGCGCTTTTTGTCGGCGGGGAAAAGGGCAGCTGCGTTTCCTGGGGCAGAGGTGCCGTCTGTGAATCTACGCGACCCTGCCAGCCCTCTCTTTCGCTGCCGCCGCGGTCCGAAGCGTCTGAATAACAACTGGTGCAGCCCCACCGCGAGCGAGGCAAACTGCAGTTGGGAGAGCTGCGATGGCGAGCCAGAGGTCAGTTTTGGGGAGCCGCGTGTGGGGAAGTCGCCATCCCGGCTGAGACGCGTCCGAGGCCAGGGACAGGTTCTCTCTGAAGCAGGCTTTGGTGGCGGCGAGGAGCCATTTTGAACTTTAAACACACGCACAACCAAAGCGAGTGCAAAACTTTTCAGGTGGGCCAAAGTGACTTCCCCTCTCCGCCCCCCGCACACGCCGCGCCTTCCCAGCTCGGACCTCATCGAAGCCGTCTGGAGGAGCCGGGGCGCCCAGCCACTCCTTCCCTCGCTCCGCAGCCGCTCATGGACGAGGCCGGATGAGCAGCTCAGGGGGTTGGATGGATTGTGTAGCCCTCTGGCCGCCATCCTCGCCTCGTAAGCCTCGGAGATGCTGTTCCGCTTGCCGGTGGCCGCCTGGCTGTCGTGGCTCGCGCTGCTGGTGCCCGCGGCGGCGGGCTGGGAGCTGCACCTCACCGGCCGCGGCCGCCCCGGGGACTTGCTGCTGGACCTCTCCCTGGGGCCTGAGTGGCTCTGCGAGCTGGACGAGTCTCGGACGCCCCGCCAGCTGAGGGACGCCGTGGAGGTGACGGGCGACGGGCAGCTGCTGAGGTCGACGAAGCCCGTGGAGTGCGCGGGCTTGGTGCGCAGCCCGCTGCCGCTCCACTTGCGCCTGCGTGCCCCCGGCAGCGGCGCGCTCCTCTCGCTGCGCCTGGCGGCTCACCTGCAAGGCCCCGGCTGTCCCGACGGCTCCCACCGAGGAGAGAACGGCAGTCGCTGGGCGCAGGCTCGCCTTGCCGCCTTCCCGAGCCTTCCGCTGAGGCAGCACTTGGCCTCCTTGCTCTGCTGTCCTGCTAAGGAGCAGGTGCCCCCGGAGTCGGGGGGGTCGAGTGGGGAGCTCCTGCTCTCTGCCTTCATGACCTGGACAAGCTTTCCACACTGCAGGTGCCTCAGCTGCAGCCCCGAGAGCTGTGGGGGCCAGGAGGAAGGAGGGCAGGCAAGGGCCGGCTGCCAGCAGCTCTCAGGGACCAGCCATCTGCAGCTTCTTTGCCGTTTGAAGAGGACCCACAGGGAGATCATCATAGAGCTGGGGAGCCCCAGATTTGAGGACCTGGAGCAGGTGGTGGGTGGTGAGGAAGGGAAGGATAAGCTGGAGGGAGTTAGAAACAGGGAGGCAGCCCCCCCACGGTTTTTGACAAGGGGTGAGGGCAGCTGGGAGCCTTGGCCCCAAAGGAGGAGGAGGAGGAGTGTGAACAGCCCGCCACAGTTCAAGCTGCCCAACTACCAGGTGTCGATTGCTGAGAACCAGCCTGCAGGCACCCCGGTCATCACCCTGGAAGCCCACGACCCTGACGAAGGGGAGGCAGGTCGGCTGACGTATTCCATGGAGGCCTTTTTTGACAAGCGTTCCAATGATTACTTCTCCATCAACTCTGAGACCGGAGTAGTGGTCACTGCTCGTAGCCTGGATCGAGAGACTAAGGACACCCATGTGCTTCAAGTGACGGCAACAGACCATGGCTCTCCACGGCATCGGTCAGCCATCACTTTTCTGACCGTGACTGTGAGTGACACTAATGACCACGGCCCGGTGTTTGAGCAGCCGGAGTACCGAGAGAACATTAGAGAGAATCTTGAGGTGGGTTACGAGGTGCTAACGATTCGTGCCACAGATGAAGATGCCCCAGATAATGCTAACTTGCTCTATCAAATCTTGGAACCAGGTGCTGGGGAGGGGGTCTTTGAGATTGACCCCCACTCTGGTGTTGTGAGGACTTGTGCCCCTGTAGACCGAGAACAGGTCTCAGAATACCACCTTGTCGTAGAAGCGAATGACCAAGGGAAGGATCCAGGCCCCCGAAGTGCCACAGTCACCGTGCATATCACAGTGGAAGACGAAAATGACAATTCCCCACAGTTCAGTGAGAAACGCTACTTGGTACAAATCCCAGAGGACAGCCCGGTGAACAGCCAGGTGCTCCAGGTGCAAGCCACTGATCGAGATCATGGCAACAATGCGCAGGTACACTATAGCATTGTGAGCGGCAACCTCAAGGGCCAGTTTTACATCCATTCTTTCTCTGGCTCTATTGACTTGATCAATCCCTTGGACTATGAGGCTATTCGAGAATACACCCTGAGAATCAAGGCCCAGGATGGGGGAAGGCCTCCCCAGATCAATTCTAGCGGGATGGTGTCCATTCAAGTGTTAGATGTAAATGACAATGCCCCCATTTTTGTAAGCACCCCTTTTCAAGCCACTGTACTAGAGAATGTCCCCTTGGGGTACTCAGTGTTACACATTCAGGCAGTAGACGCTGACTCTGGGGATAACGCCCGCTTGGAATACAAACTCATCGAACTGCCTCATCCTTCTGCTCTCATTTCCTCAGGTGGGGACACAGGTTTCCCTTTCCAGATCAACAATAGTACTGGATGGATTACTGTGTCAGCTGAGCTTGACCGGGAATCTGTAGAGGTTTACCACTTTGGGGTGGAGGCCAGGGACCATGGTGTGCCTGTCATGACCTCCTCAGCCAGTGTCTCCATCACCGTCCTTGATGTCAATGATAACAGCCCTACTTTCACGGAAAAGGTTTATCAACTCAGGCTTAATGAGGATGCGGCAGTGGGCAGCAGCGTCTTGACACTGACCGCAGTGGACAGGGATGTCAACAGTGTGGTGACCTACCAGATCACGAGTGGCAACACAAGGAATCGCTTTGCTATCACCAGTCAGAGTGCAGGTGGGCTGATCACTCTGGCCTTGCCCCTGGATTACAAGCAGGAGAGGCAGTATGTGCTGACGGTCACTGCTTCTGATGGAACCCTGTTTGACACTGTCCAAGTCTTTATCAATGTCACCGATGCCAACACTCACCGACCGGTCTTCCAGAGTTCCCATTACACGGTGAGTGTTAGTGAAGACAAGCCCATTGGCACATCCATTGTCACCATCAGTGCCACTGATGAGGATACCGGGGAGAATGCTAGGATCACTTACATCCTGGAGGACAGCATCCCTCAGTTCCGTATTGACCCTGACACAGGAACCATCACTACCTTGATGGAGTTAGACTATGAGGACCAAGCCTCTTACACGTTGGCCATCACAGCACAGGACAATGGCATCCCTCAGAAATCTGACACAACCTATGTGGAGATCCTCATTCTGGATGCCAATGACAATGTGCCCCGTTTCCTTCGTGACCGTTATCAGGGCACTGTCTTTGAAGATGTGCCACTCTCCACCAGCGTCTTGCAAGTGTCTGCCACTGACCGTGACTCAGGCCCTAATGGCCGCCTCCTTTATACCTTCCAGGGTGGAGATGATGGTGATGGAGATTTTTACATTGAAGCCACCTCAGGGGTGATACGGACACTGCGCAAGCTGGACCGTGAGAACGTGGCTGTCTATAGCCTGAGGGCTTTTGCTGTGGACAGGGGCAGCCCACCCCTAAAAGCCTCTGTGGATATCCAGGTTACTGTGTTAGACATCAATGACAATCCACCTGTTTTTGAACAAGATGAGTTTGACATCTTTGTGGAAGAGAACAGCCCTGTTGGTTCTATTGTAGCCCGGATCAGTGCTGTAGATCCTGATGAGGGAACAAATGCACAGATCATGTATCAGATTGTGGAGGGCAACATCCCTGAGGTCTTCCAGCTTGACCTTCTTAATGGCGATCTCACAGCCCTGATGGATCTGGATTATGAGAGCCAGACGGAGTATGTGATTGTGGTACAAGCTACCTCAGCCCCTCTTGTGAGCCGAGCGACTGTGCACATACGCCTGCTGGATCAGAATGACAACCCACCTGTGTTACCTGACTTCCAGATCCTGTTCAACAATTATGTCACAAACAAGTCTAATAGCTTCCCTTCTGGAGTGATTGGCAAGATCCCTGCCCATGATCCTGATGTATCTGACCAACTTGATTACACCTTTGTCCAGGGCAATGAGTTAAACTTGCTGCTTTTGGACTCCTCTACTGGAGAACTGAAGCTCAGCCGGGACCTGGACAACAATAGACCCCTTGAGGCTATCATGAAAGTATCAGTTTCAGGTAAGGAATTGTTTCTGGAGCTGGTGATGATAGATAATGGTGAGTGAAAGTTTGGTTTGTTGGCCTGAAGTTTTGGCACCAGTAAAAGTGATCTTGGTGTATTTTGATTTTTAATTTCCAAAAATTGAGACTTTGGAAGGCTTTGGACAGCAGTAACAGAGATTTTCAAAGCTGCTGTGTGCTTTGTTCTGACGTTAACTCTGTAGTGCTAGGGTAAGGAGACTGTGGCCATAGATTATTGGATTGCCACTCCCATGAGCCCTAGACAGCATAGCTAATAATGAGAGATATTGGGAAATGTATTCTAACAATATCTGGAGGGCTAGACAGTCCTAATTGTTGCTGTACTGAAATACAGCTAATCCTATTGTGATCTGGAAAAATCTCTCTCCAGAGGAAAATAATTGAACTTACATGGCATATGTCAGTTTGCTGCTGAGTGGCTGGGTAGCTTTAAAGGACTGAAGTGTTGTGCATATGCTGATCATCAGTGAACAGTAGAGTTTTCCAAAGTTTTCATTCATTTCTAAATCAAGATGCACGGAAAAGAACAGTTAAATTATCAGTACGAGAGCATTTGCTTGAGTTGACTCAGCAGTGAATGAGTCCCTTTGTTGAGTCATTTCCTATAACCACTTGTTAGGTAACTGTATCTATTTGGATATATGCTGTATAGATGGATCCTGCCCTCAAATCACAACAATGTGTGATATACATACCTGCCATATCAATTAATGAACTCTTTTTCATTCTGAGCACTCTAGGCCTCAGATTCATAAATGTGAAGAGACACGCTTGTTGTTGTTCTTAATAATAGTGGTGATAGTAATAGGAAAGCAAGCGAGAAGCAGAAGAATTGGAAGAGTCATTACCTTTTGTACATCTGTTGTCATTATTTCCAGACACATCCTGGTAAGAGGATAAAACTTCAAGGCCAAATTCCGTAGCATCCTGTTTGATGATTAACACAGCAGATTCTACTTAGTTGAAATGAATCTAAATGCATTTGTTCTATTAGTGAGGATTAGGCTTATGTTGCTGTTAGAAGAATAACATACAACTAGCTCTAAAGTAGAGAAAGAAGAGGGTTCTTCACATTCCAGTTAAATGGATTTCTGGAACTACTTGGACAGAGTACTTGATCCTGGGGTACAAAATTCCTAGTAAATGTTTGCTAGTCTGTTGAAGCAAAAGTAATCATGAAGGCCAGTGGAGCAGTCTGAGAGCATAAAGAAGCAAACACATTATCTGTACCAGCATTAAGCACATTTTAGTCTCATTGTTTTCATGTCCTCAGTCAACACTTATCTGTTGATGTCAAAGTGACTTAAAAATACTTCACTCTGGGTTGTATCGCCTGATATTTATTTTGCCATGAGTTTTCATAGATCTACTTCATCGCTTTTATTTGAGATTGAGTGCAAAAGCGCATGTTACTTTAAAGATTAAGCTAGCAGCTATGTCTTCCTTTTTTAAAAAAACTCTGGATTGGAACCCTGGCATTGGAGTTTGGGAGGTTTAACCTTTCTATCTCGCTTTCGTCCCAGTCTAGATTTAGCCCTCTGCCCCTAGCAATTTATATTTTCATATAGTGATCTATTAAAGTAAATAAATCATTATTTGCTAATGTATATGGCATACACTGTAGTGCAGTACTGGGGATAAATTATTATTGTGAATTATATTTCTATACTATCCAATAGCTGAAGTTCTAAAATATTAGTTCTCTCCATCATGCCTTGTTTGCAAATTCCCCATGTACATCTGGTGTTGCTCCTTTTGGAAGAACGGACTTTTGGTCTGATTCAGCAAGACCGTTCATAAGCTTTTAAATAACTAAGTATTATTGTATGACTAAATAAATCCTCATATATGGTTAGTGAGCATTTATTGCATGAACAACTCCTGTTGTCTTTAAATGATTTTTGTGATTTGAGTGATATGCATACAAGTTGTCAACATTTGGCAGCAGCTCTTTTCACAACTCAGTAAAGCACTCCCTAGAAAAGAACTTGCTTCTTGTGCTGTGCTTTTCTTTTGGATTGTGGAGCTATTCTTTATACCCATGGCTCATACTGTGCATCAATAATGCAGTGCCTAGCCTTTTGCAGTCTCCGTCTGCTGTCTTTATTGCAGGTCTTCCAAGCAGCTGCAACTCTTGTTGACCTTTTGAGACTCATTGTGAACAGTATCTTGTCAGTGATGCTTTTCACTCAAGATAGTCTTTTCACTTTTGTGAGAAATGGGTAATAACGTTTTGGGGAGGTGTTTCTCTTTGGCTGCTTTGTTCTGAGATGTTACTCAAATTAGTCTAATTCTGTCAACACCTACTTTGAATGTAGGGCTGAGGAGCGCTTGGTGACACTGAGGTCAAAGCTGTGTGCTATGGTAGAAAGCAATGTAGTCTGTCCTGTTTGCAGGACTAGTGAAAGTGATGCTAACACCCATCACTGAAAATATTTCTGTGTTGCATCGGACAACTGATGTAGATTGTCTGCAGAACTTTTGGAGTGAGTAGTTGTGGTTAATGTGTAACTTCTTATGTACAGATTCCAACAGATATACAGGCATGTTACTTCCACGTGGGTTTCCAACTTTCAAAGATAATAGCATAAGTTACTTGATTCTTTGGTCCTGCAAAGGTATGCATATGGATGATGCATTCAGACATCATCAAGTTGAATCAACCAGTAGTTCGTTTTTTATGTCAGAAGATAAAAAGCAAGTCATGAAAGAAATTTTGGACAAGGGCACATGGGGTAATAAGACAGAACATACAAGGAAGGAGCTCTTTATAAAGTATTCTGCAAATGCCAGTGGATGGGCATAAAGGTCGTGCATATTATCATCCAAAGAAACTGAAACATGCTAAAGTCCCACATAAATTTGTGCAGCTTTATCTCTGATGTGCCCCAGTTCATGCCCATAGCCATAGGTTTACCGCATTAATCCAGACCTAAGTATAAATAATCCCCTCATTTAGGCCAACGTAAAGGTGGCTTCAAACATGACAATCACTCTACAAAACATTCCATACAGTCTGCATTCTATGAATATGTTCCACACATTTACCTTTTGCTGTATGTATATCTGTTGGAATCAGTACATAAGAAAAACGTTAAATGAAATACTTATTCATTTCTGGCATAAGTGAAATTAAAGTGTAATAATCACATATGCCAGTGCTCTTCCATGGTTTGTAAAAAGGATAAGATCATGTTACCCTGATATTGCACCAAAATGCCCACAAAAGTATTTTTTGGCTGCAGTGCTGTAGGAGCAAGTTCCAATGAAAACAGTGTTACTTACTTCTGAGTAGTCATAGCAAAAATAGTGATGTTACTGTTTCTGTAATGTGACTGTCCTGCTTACGCAGCTGGCTCAGTGAAAGATGGTCTGCTTTAGCAGTATTTAGCTACTCATACTTCAAGTCTTGGGCCGCAGCAAGTTAATGCCACCCTTAATGTATACTTTAAGTGCACATTGCTGGAAAATGTTAAATATCAGCAGTTGGGCAGCTGTAAAAGTAACAAACTGGGATACATATTTTGTCCAAAGCATTAGTTAAATGAGGTAATACTAAAACTGAATAACCTTAATAAACTGAATGAAACTTTCTTTGGCCACTGCATCTAAAGGTTTGTCAAGCTGAAACGTGCCCAATACTAAAAGGTAGAGAAATATCTAAAATGCTTCCATTAGAGATCTACTTATGACTCATATTATTAGAATAATTAAAGATGCAGACAATTCATAAGGAATGCACTAACAGAAGATATGGGTGAAGTTAAAACTTTTTTTTAAAGTTTGGCAGGCAGTTGAACTTCCGTTTTCCTGTAATATTTTGCCTGTATTTTTGTTTCTTGATTTTAAATGAATTATGCTTTGCTTGTAAGGCCAAGCAGTAGCATTGTTAAAAATTGGGAAAACACAATTATTTATTTTGCTCAACAGATCAGAAATAAAATCAGTCAAGGTAATCTTGAATCCAAAGCAAAATATAATAGTATTTATTTATTTGGTGTACAGCCTGCTTTTTTCTTATGAACTCAAAGTGGCTTACATCATTCTCCCCCTGCTGCTCTCAGTCTTATCCTCACAGCAACAACCCTGTGAGGTAGGCTGGGCTGAGTGACTGGCCCAAAGTCACCCAGTTGGCTCCATGGCTGAGAGGAGACTACAACCCAGATTGCCTGAGTCCCAGTCCCATGCCCTTAACCAGTATACCACACTGGCTGTGGTATCATCAGCTAAGATATACCCCTATATAAAATAGCCTAATCGCAAAAAAAAAAAAACATTAAATCCTTCCTGTGTTCTCACTGCCACTGATATGAATTGGGCCACACCCATGGGATTTTCTGTCAGCAAATATTTAACATAAAACTGAACTCCTACTCTTAGTTGGCCAGCTAGTAAAGGGGCAATCAATAGTCCAAAATTACAGAACTGAAGAACAAATTCCACACCTTCCTCCTCCTGGTTATTATAAGGACAAACTTCCAGGGAGAAAACATTTGCTTAAAGAAAAAAAGGAGAGAATAAGAGAGATATTAACTATTTAGTTAACTATCTGGAGTTATGGGTAAACAGTTATTTAGGATAGTTAAACAAACACGATTGATACTGAAAGGTCTTCCCAAGCTGAGGAAATGGGCATTTAAATGGCAGAAACAGTTCAATAGAAGTACATGTCAGGTGTTCCATGCTGATACAATTTTCCTAACTTCCTGTACTGTGGCAGTGAGCAAGAAAAGGATCTAGGGGGCAAATTAGGGGGACACAAAAGAGGTCTATAAATTCATGCATAGTGTGCAGAAAGTGATTGGGAGAAAAAAATGCACACTCGAACTTGGTATTACCCTATACAGCCAAATGATGAGAGATTCCAGACAGATTAAAGCAGGAGTGGATAACTTGTGCTTCTCATCAGGTAGCCATTGATAAGGAATAACAAGACACCTGAAGGACCATACGATGCCCATCCTAGGTTTAAAAGA